CTGATCCCCCCCAACTACCCTCCCCTGCGGGCCTTGTCCCCCCAACTCCTCTTCCTTTTAGGTCTGGTCCTTTTCAACTGTCCTCACCTGCTGGCCTGATTTCCCACAAGTGCCCTCCCCTGCTGGCCACATGGAGGTGGCGGTTACACATATCTGTGAGTATACTAAAAGAATACTGAATTGTATACTTTAAATGAATGAATTGCATGGTAGGTGAGTTATATCTCAATAAAGCTATGAAACATTTTCAGCTTTATTGTCTCTAACTTCTGGCTTCAAGCCATTTTCACCTCCAGCAGCAAGAATTAAACAAAGCATATGCTCTCTAGATCTAGACAGAAAGCTGGGACAAGCGTAGTCATGCTCCCCTGACGATGGGATGAGGCAATTCCGTGATTGTGTGAAAATCACTTCTGAGAAAGTATAATGACCTATCTCTCCTCTAGGTGACAGCAGCATGGCTCTACACCCATCTGCCACTATTGTGGCAATCAGCACAGATAGCAAACAAAGTTCATTTGCACACATGGGGAGACGGAAGGTATAATTAAAACTGGATCTTACAAGCCCACCTCTCTGAAGCAAGTGTGATGAAGCAGCTGGGCTGCCTCACTTGTTGAGGATAAACATGAAACAATTAGCCATGGACTCTGCATAGAAAGACATGACCACAGGGAGGCCTTTAGGCCAAGTTACTCTACATTTTCAGTGAAGCAAAATAGAGGCATTTCAAAAATAACTAAATGTCAAATTTTTCCCTAAGTTAAAAAGGCCCCTTAAGTATAAACCTTCAACATCAAGTAGAGAATTCTACTCAGCCCCACTCAAGGCCAGTGTTTTGTCACCACCTGTGCATGCATGTTAGCCAGGACTCTACAAGGTGTCATCAGCATGTCTGCCCTGCCAGTTCACAGACTCTGCAAATTCACAGACTCTACAAGTTCACAGACTTTGCTGCTTAAGACTTAAGTGAAAAATAAACCAAGCAAGTAGGTATGAGATGGGTGCAGATGGCCAAAAACCCAGAACAAACAAAGAAGGAAACGCTTGGGTCTGAGGTCAAAAGGATTGCTGCAGAAAGAACTCAAGCACTTATATAAAGCATGTTAATCCTATCTAACTTCTGATTTTGTTCATACAACCCATATTTACAGAGCAAGGCCTTGTCCAAACGCTGACGATACAGCAGTAGCTAGAACAATGCCTTGCCTTCCAGGAGGAGAGACAGCAGCCAATTCTGGGACAGGGCGTGTCCTCACTGCGGCCAACAGACCCACCAGCCAGGGACCTCACTGCTCTGTATGCCCACACCCTGCACTACAAGCTTGCATCATCCCACCGATCCAATAGCAAATGTGTCTCTCCGTTCAAATATTAAGAATATAAAGGAGGGGTCCCCTTTTCTCTCTCGCTTTCTCAAAAATTCAATTAAAAAAAAAACCAAACACCAACAAATCCTGTCTGGGTGACTCAGTTGGTTGGCGCATTGTCCCGTACACCAAAAGGTGGTGGGTTTGATTCCTGGTCAAGGCACATACCTAGTTTGAGGGTTAAATCCCCGGTCAGGTGTGTATGGGAGGCAACCAATTGATGTCCCTCTTTGTCTCCCTAGAAAAAAAAAAATCAAATGTAAAAGAGGGGGCAATGGGGACACAGGTGACCAGTGAAGAGTGACAGTGGAGCAGAGACAAAAGGCCCAGAGAGGCAATCAGTCTTGCATTCCTTCCTTCTCAGACTAGCTACTTCGGGTCAGGGCAACTAAGTGTGTCTATCGTTTAGTAAACCAGCCCAGCCCACTGTCACAGGCACTGAGCTTCACAGATGGTCTTTCCAGTGCATTCCTAATCCACTGGCAACAGCTGCTGCAGAGCAGCAAAAGACCACAGCTTCCTTGGCACGCCCTACCTATCATGCCCGACCTATCATGGTGGCTCTGCCTCTCCACCCTGTGAAATCTGGTTGGCCTGGGAGTTTGCTTTGATCAGTAAAAGCTGGCAGAAGCTACAATAGATCAGTAAAACCTGGCAGAAGCTACAATGCATGAATTCCAAATCTAGAACTCAAGGGACTTTACAGTTTCCACTCATCCCCAGGCAAGCAAGGCCATGTTTTCACTGGAGGGAGATAGTCTATAAGGATTAAGATTCTAGTTGAGGCTGTGGAAATGTAAGGCCATCATAGATCATGCAGCCCCTCAAAGCCAGCCAGATCAGAAGAACCTCCAAGCCAACACTCAGACACACAGGCCTGGTAAATGTTTGTTTTAAGCTACTAAGTTTTGTTCTTTACCATAGCTAATTGATACAAATTTAAATTTTAACTGCTCCTAAAAGGAATGCATCAGTAGGTAACCACAACTTAAAAAGTACCCTATTCACCTCAGGATATGCAACAGCAATTTGATTCCTTAATTTCTGGTAACTCTCCAGGTTTATACAAATACCAAACATGATAGTTGTATTTGATTAATATAGGCAACAATTGCAATTTATTAAAACTTTTATGTGCTCTAAATATTTTGAAATCTTTACAAAAAACCATCTCTAACTTCCTTATGTATAAAATGACTCAGTTACTTAGTAAAAGTAAATTTCTCAGAGGACTACAATCTATTTATGACTCAACAATAAGTGTGTGTTTTTTTTCTTTTCTGGGGCCTAGTTTTAGTTGATAAAGACCATGAAGCATATTGAATAACAAAAAAAAAAAAAAAAAAAAAAAAAAAAAAAAAAAAGCTCTAAAGTAAACTTAGTACAATTCTTTTTTTCTTTTCTTTCTACCTTCTTTCCATCTTTTTAAAAATTTGATCCTGTTATAAACGCAGACCACAGTGAATGTGTTTAGCATAGGATGGCTACATGGTGGAAAATCTTCCAAACATTTGCCTGGAAGAGTTTTGGGAGCTCACTTAATGCCCAGATCTTTACTTATTTCCTACAGGTGATTTATGGAAGGGTGTCTTGGTCAGCCAGGAAATGCGGTCATGGAACCAGTAGCCACTCATTAGCTGCTCAGGGTCAAAGGTTGCCTATGCTAGACTACCTTCCCTACAGAGGCTGCCTCTTACAACATAGTGACTTAGGAAGCTGAACAGACAGGTCCTGCCAGTTTCGGTTACCACTGCCCTGATGGAGTGATATTTGATGTCCTCCTCAAATAAGACCTTAAAAGATACCCGAGTTCAGACACTATGAATCTGGGCACTCAAGGGAGAAATGGTGTGCCCTAGGCTCTAAGCAAGAGGCCAGCCTCCTTTCCGGCATCCCTGCTGACCACTTTCTAGCCTCACTATGCTCATCTCTTCCTCTCCCTCCCCCTTTTCATGAAATGCACTCTATAATTAGGCAGTGCCAGAGGCTAACAGAGGTTTCCTTCAGGCCCCTTCACAGCCTGGCCCACAGCTCAATAACTGTCTTATTTTCTGTGTAGCACCTTGATTTCTTGATAGAAAACCCAAGCATAAGTTAATCTGCTAAAGTTTAAGTTCATTTTCTTGCCCTTACTTTTGACATTAGATCAGGAAAAGCTTCTAAAATACTACTGAGCCCAGTGGGTGTGGTTCAATGGTTGAGCCTCGACCCATGAACCAGGAGGTCACAGTTCGATTTCCAGTCACGGCACATGCCCAGGTTGTGGGATCAGTCATGAGGAGAGGTTGTGCAGGAGGCAGCTGATCAATGACTCTTTCTCATTATTAATGTTTCTATCTCTCTCTCTCCCTTTCCCTTCCTCTCTGAAATCAATAAAAAATATATAAAAAACAGATACTACTGTAAGTCAATATGAAATATTTTAAAAAGATAATATATTTATGCATTACATTTGAAAATAAATAATTTAAAAATATTCATTCTAATGTCATTTAGAAAAATCAGAAAAATATTTTCTAATATATTATGTTGGTCTAAAACTGTCCTTTAAAAATATGTAGCCGAAACCGGTTTGGTTCAGTGGTAGAGCGTCAGTCTGTGGACTGAAAGGTCCCAGGTTTGATTCCAGTCAAGGGCATGTACATTGGTTGTGGGCACATCCCCGGTAGGGGGTGTGCAAGAGACAGCTGGTCAATATTTCTCTCTCATCGACGTTTCTAGCTCTCTCTCTCTCTCCCTTCCTCTCTCTAAAAAATCAATAAAATATATTTAAAAAATACATATGTATATACATAGATACATACATGTACACAATTGTTTTTGCCAACATTATCAGTTCAATCTAATATTAGGAAATTAAAAAAAATACAAATGTTATTATGGCTGACCTAGAAAAACCAGTTCTATGCTAAGACTGTGCAACACTTCCCATCCAGGCTTTCTACATGATGAGTGCTCAGTCCCACCCAGTCACCCTGAGCTTGGAGACTGTGTCACCCCCACATTTCAGACGAGGAAGCTGACATGTAATGAGGCAAATGAACACCCCCCCACTCAAGTAGGCAGTGGCTGAGCCAGGAGAACCTGCGTGATACCCCATGGTTCCAGTCTGCACTCTATAGCACCAGACAGCTTCTCAAAAGAGAAAAGTGCAGAGACAACATGATCATAATTTTAAAGGACAGAGAGGAGGATCCCATTTTCCAAAATGAAAGGAGAAATGCAATGTCACCATTTGCAAGGATTTTATTGGGTGTACCAAAGCCACCCTTAGTCAACTTCATAAAAAAGCAGCCTAACCAGCAAAATGTAATTTGGAGCATAATATTCAACTTTCATGCCTTAGCTGGTTTTGTTCAGTGGATAGAATATCAGCCTGTGGATTGCAGGGTCCTGGGTTCAATTCCAGTCAAGGGCACTCACAACAGTTGCAGGCTTCTACCCTGTCTGGGCCCTGGTCAGGGTGCGAACAACAGAAGGCAACCAATTGAAGTGTTTCTCTCACACTGATGTTTCTCTTTGTCTTTCCCTCTCTCTAAAAAAAATAAAATAAAAAAATAAACCCTTGGGTGAGGATTTAAAAAAAAGAAGAAAATATAAGAAACTATTCCTCCAAAAATCACTTCTTACCTCAACGTCGAACATTTCCACAGAGTTGTCCAGCAGCTTTACCCGGAGAGGAAAACACTTCTCTTGCATTCTAGCTGCCATCCGCGTCATCCCTGCCGAAGGAGCCTGCCCGGGCTCCAGGGTGCTCACTCCTGCGAGGGGCTGGGCTCCAAGGCGTGCCCCTGGGGTCTGTAGGGTTCGGTATGTTCCTTCTATCTCTCCCATTCTTCATCAAGTAAGAGTGAGGAATATGCTACAAAAAAATAAAACCCAAAGAATCACCACCAGGTATTTAGACATTAAAACAATGTAAAAAATGACCAGGTACACAGGAATTGTCTGCATGATTTTACAACTCCAATGAGTCTTAAATTACATAAAAATGCAGAGGTGCCCTGGGTGGGTGGCTCAGTTGATTGAAGCCGTGTCCTATACACCAAAAGGCTGCAGATTCGATTCCAGTTAGGGCACACACCTAGGTTGTGGGTTAGATCCCTGGTTGGGTGCTCATGGGAGACAACCGATCCATGTTTCTCTCTCCCTTCCACTCTCTAAAGAAAAATCAATAAAAACATATCCTTGAGTGGATTTAAAAAAAAAAAAAAATCCAAACACTATCTTCTACTCATACTTGGTTGGTGGAACAGAAAATATAACAAGCACCTCCAACAACATTTCCCAGGGGGTTCTACAGGTTGGGTGGCATCTGAGCACAGAGACCCCAGAGAAGCTCCTATGAGAGCCGCCTCATCATCAATCGGTGGGCAGAGGGCAAGAGGCAGTCCTGCCTAGTCCTTCTCAGGCTCTGCTAACCAGTTAGACACCCACTGTGCTGTCTGGGCCTTCGGCGCAAGCAACGGGTCCCACGTGGCACAGCTCCAGTGCACTCAGCAGGCTCCTCATTACTGCTGATGGGTGGGGAAAATTCCAAGGACAGTAGTTCAAGACAACCACCCCTGTCTCTGCCAACTTTGCATTCCTAGGTTTTTCTAGGTTGTGTCTCACCAGGCTGGAGTGGGTGCCACCGGTGGTGGGGAAAATACTTTCAGGCGCAGTACAGAGGAGAGCCCAGGTGAGTGTCATGAGGACCACACACCTGAGGTTGGAAGGCACCCTCCTTATCCTGTCCTCACAATGACCACCTGCCACCACCTGATAACAACACTGAGGGTCCAACAGAGCTAAGTAGCTGGGGCAGCACTGAGTGCCCTTTTCAATCCTCCTTGTGTCCTGGAGAAAGTCTCTATTTTTAAGTTACTGAGTTGAGCAGGGAAAATCACTTCAGAGTTTTTTAACAAAGAAAGAACAGCTAAGTATCAGGCAGAATCTAATAAGACTGGCTTGCTTTGAATTGTATTTATTAATATAATTACCTTCTATTTATGGCAAATTTCCTTCTTAAATATAAGTATTTATGTTTGAAAGTCAACTTAAAGAAACATATTTAACAGTAAAACACAATATGGCAAAAACCAATGCCAGATGTATAATCAAGAAAGAATGCAGCTGCTGCTAAGTGTTTTGTTTCACGTAATCATCTTCAAAAAGTCTTATACAAGTTTGCAGTAAAGGTTTTAGAGGATTAATCTCACTACATTCTTGGCCTAGTCCTTTGCTTGCAAACTGCATGGCCGGCTGAGTCCTTTGTCCCTTTCCTCTTTGTCATGCTTATTTTGTTATCAAGACAAACACATGAACTTTTTATTTGACTTAAGTCCTAAAAGCTTCTCAATGACCAGGTGCCAGGCATCCCACTCTGACCACTTAAACACTATCTGGGCAAGAACTTCCATGCACATCTGGTTTATCAGGCAGTAAGCACAAAGCAAGAAGTGAAACCCTCAGGAAAGTGGAAGGTGAATAGCACGGCACTTTGAGGTTGTGTGTTATTCTGCCAAGCACATAGCAGTTCCTACATACTGAAGGGACAGATCCCCTCTCTTGTTTGTTACCTGGGCCCCACGTTTGGGTTGGGTTAACAGTTACCTATCATCTCCAGGTTGTATGCCCCTGAGAGCAGGAACTAAATGCTACTGAAAATGTCTGCTATGTGTTTACTTAAAGTCATTGGCATCCAAGAACCCGAACTGCCTCATTATGCAATGCATTGTGTAGAGTTCAGAAACAAAGACAGGGCTCCCTCACAAACAGGACACTTTAGGAAATCACTATTTTCATGCCATTAATAATAAACCCGATTTGTACAGGTTCTGAGAATCATAAATACGAGCTTTTTTAGTACAAAAGTGAGGGGATGTCAACAAGGACCCCACCTTGAAGGTGTCTCCTGTATGAAACATGATTAAGTTCTTGGTCAGCTCTCACATTTAGCGAACCCAGAACCATCAAGAGTAGGCTCTTCTGAAACAAGCTGGGGGGAGTTTTTTTTGGGCACCAAAGCTACCTTGTCCACTTTTAAGCCAAGCTACAATTCTGAAAACATATGTAAACCAGAATACATTTTTAGAAGTCACTACCCTTATTTATTTCATTGTATAATTCTCATTTATATTTGTTCTTAATAATTTTATATGGAAAAATCTTCTTCATGCTGTTTCTCTTCTATTCATTATAAGAAAGTCATCTCTTTATAAAAAAAAAAGAAAAAAGGCAAGAAAGACCAACCTATAGTGTCCAGAGGGCACATTCAGGTGAAAAAACTCTAAGGAAAATATGCAAGGAGGTTATTATTAGAAAAGTCAGGGCAGTGGTCCCTCCTTCATGGTAGGAGGGGTCTGACACTGGAGGGTAAGGGGGCTCAGTTCTATTACTTGACCAGGATTGCATTCACTTTACAAGTAAGCTAAAGAATTGATTAATGTGGTTTTTCTATGTCTGTGTTTATTTTATAATGAAAATATATTTAAAACAGCATACTTTTAATTTAACGCTGCTTCGTCTGTCAGAAGAACGAAAGACATATTACACATAAAAGACTTTTCTTAGATCAAGGAATGCTAAAACATGGCTTCGGAGAGGAAACTCCTTCCTCACAGCAAACTTAGATCCACTCTACTGTAAACATTGGCATGGCTGACGCTGAAACTCAGGGTCATCTGAGGAAGACAGATTCACTCTAGTCAATGCTCCAGGAGGAACCCTGCTGTGACATTCCAAAGAAAGATCTATCTGCTATGACATAATAGTAATGTGGCTTAAACTACCCATTTAATAAGCATTCAGCTTTAAGTTTAAGAAAGCCTTGAAAGTAGGAAACTCCAGTGCTGTGAATATCAGCTAACCTTGTTCTCAAAGTCTATCCATCTATTTCAGAACAAGCAGCATAATTGGATACTTCCTGTATAAAGTGAGGCTGATCATTCAAGTCACTTTCTACAGCCCTACGATTTCCTCCACCCTGACTCCGGGAAAGATGTCTTCATTGAGCCTTTTTTTTTTTTTTTTTTTTTTTTTTTTTTTTTTTTTTTACAAATTATGACCTACAAAAGTTACTTTGTTCCATTCTGTGTGCTTATAAACTAACATTACAAAAGCAAGGATATGAAGCCAGACTGGAAATAAACACAGCAAGGTCAGTACCAGTCCCTGACACACCCAGTGTTCTGCAGCCCCTGCTCACATCTCTGCTGCTGCCAGAGAACCTTTCCAAAAATCCCAAGAGAAGTGACCTCCAAAGGACTGCAGCCCATTTTCCCATCTTCCTCCCACCAGACTGAAATGCTTTGTGGTCTTCATTTCTAAAAATACTGCTGGTTGCTGGATAGTTTCCACTACTGACTTTTAGTGCTACCTACGACAAACTCAGCTCCTATGCGTACATACTCATTTAATAAAAAACTTAAAAAACTACCTTGAGACATATTCCACCTTGAAGTTGGAAGAATTTGGTACAAAAGTCTGCCAAGGCTTTGACTAACGAAGTGTCAATGCAGGTTTGTAACAAATGTTGCCTGGGGAGGGAGGGTGTTGATATAAAGGGAGGCTGTGCCAGGAATGGGGTAGGGGTCATATGGGAATTCTCTATAACTCCACTCAGTTTAGCTGTGAACTAAAAACTACTCTTTAAAAAAAAAAAAAAAAAAAAAAAAGGAAAGAAAAAAGAAAAACGTCTAGTAAAAACAAAAATCTTCCACAGAACACATAACTCAGAAGTGACAGTCAGGACTCAAGCCCAGCCTGGACTTGGCCACCATGTTTCCGGTCTCTGCTGGAAAACCAGCTCACAGCTCCTCAGACACAGAAGCCCGTAATCACACTAAGGGAGCTTGCTCAAATTTCTCTGTGCAAAAAAACCCCACCTTCCATGAAATATTTTTGGTTGCTTCTTTTAGGAGGACCAAAAAACACACAACAGGTTTCTCAAATAATATTCTGTTCAATGTCATTTCCTTACAACACTGATGAGGAAAAAAGTCCATTCCCGGTGGGACCACTGTCTGTGTGGAGTATGCACGGTCTCCCATGTCCACATGGGTTTCCTCCGGGGACTCTGGGCTCCTCCCAAATCCCAAGGATGTCACGTGAGGAGAATGCCCTATGTACATGAACAGTGCCCCTATCTTTGTGCGCATGAGTGGCGCTAAGACAGAAGGGCACCTGCGAGGATGGAGAGGGCACCCTCACGTAGCATCATGAGCTGCTAGGAGAGGCTCCAGCCGTCCATGACCCTGAACTAAAACCAGCAGGTTAGAAAATTGTTACCTTACTTATTTTCAGTATTAATGTTTCTCAAATGTATGTGTAGCTGACATTTATTTCAATGTCTAATATTAGAAGTGTTTGGGATCTTTGTTTAGAAGTTTAGTGATGTTTTTCTGACCAGAAATATGTGGAACTTAACTCTGATTCATATCATTAGCGGCTGGTAAAACTGGTTTACTTTAGGTTGTTTCTCTTAATGTCACAATTTCCAAGAACCTGTCGACGACTAAATGAGGACTTGCTGTACTTCTATAGTGACCAACGAAGGATGCAGAAGAGGGCACTCATTCCCCTGCACGTTCTAACATCCTAAACCCCAATGCAGTGCTGGGAATGAACTTTTGGCGCTGATGGCATTTAAATGGAATTGTCAACCCTGGTTCTCAACCCTGGATTGTACCTCTTTAACACAATGCAATAAGAGAGGGACCTTTTTATTCCCTTTCTACTAAGGATGGCTGATAGGTTTTAGGGTAAACAACCGAACAATTCAATCAATTGTAAGTAAACAGAGAAAAACCGTCAGAACCTGCATTGCCAGGCAAGGCTTTGTAGAGCTGACA